AAAAATAGACTGTTCATGTATTATTATAAGTTACAAATAATTCAAAGTGGAAAAATAGTTTTTCTTTGTTTTTAATTTTGTTAAGTAGGACAAATTTAAGTAATGGCATAACAAAAAAGAAGGCTTTAGGTATATGACTAACAAATATATTGTTTGTTTGACGGAAATGTATTGATAAGTCTCTTGGTGATGCTAAGGTAACGAGCGATAAAGGAATAATTTTGAAAATATTAAATTAGTCAGGTTTTTTTACTTTTAGCTTTATGTTGATGATAGAAAAATAATTTTTAAGTGCTTATGTCAAAGCTTATATTATATTAGTTTTCAGTTATGAAAAAAATTTGACCAGTTATATCTAATTCCTTAATGAACAAACCTGTTTTTGTTTTCTAGCCAGTTGTGTGAAGAGATCAACGTGTACGATGCAAATAACAAGGCCAACCAGGAAGAAATAATGGATCACTCAACCTCTGATAACGATACTACCTCTTCACAGGAGGTTAATCAGAAAAAGTCTAAAATAAAAGATTATAAGAAGACTAGCCTCATCCATGCCATAAAAGTCTTTGAAGAGTTTGTTTTGGAATTAGAAGCTTCATGGAAAGGCAAACGTTTGGAAATGAATGGTAATTTATCTTAATTGTTTTGCTGTTTTATTGTACTATAACTGTTTAATTACTGAAAGGAAAAATATTTAAATTACAAAATTAGAAATAATTCCTGGAACTTCTTGTTTTAATCTCCATTTTTATTTTTCTGTAGGTATATTTTAAAGTGAAAAGCAAGGTTATTTCTAAGATTCTGTCTTTTTTTTTTATTATGGTATTTTTTTCTTTGTTTATAAAATCAATATTTTCCCCAAAATAACCACAATGTTATTGGTAACTTGGGAACATTACAAGAAAACTCACCCTATAAAAGGGACTGAAAATATTTAGGTATTGACAAGATGGCTAGAGATCATTTTTATCAAATGCTATACATTGCTGCATTTTCAACGTACTGAAATCCATAAACGTCATGTCTCACAACTTCTTGTATTTGCAGAGCCTATTTATCACTTGTTCATTAGGCACTATAGCTTACATAGTTGAAATCTCCTGTTGGTATGGCAATGGGCCCTTCTAGCATGCTCAGTGTTCTTTGTTTGAACACACTTGTTGTTTCCTTACATAGAAATAGTAAGTTGTAACTGAAGCTTTAGTTGTAGTAATATAAAGTAATTAATGTTTTATTACACTTGTATATTATTACAATTATTGTTGTTTCCTTACATAGAAATAGTAAGTTGTAACTGAAGCTTTAGTTGTAGTAATATAAAGTAATTAATGTTTTATTACACTTGTATATTATTACAATTATTGTTGTTTCCTTACATAGAAATAGTAAGTTGTAACTGAAGCTTTAGTTGTAGTAATATAAAGTAATTAATGTTTTATTACACTTGTATATTATTACAATTATTGTTGTTTCCTTACATAGAAATAGTAAGTTGTAACTGAAGCTTTAGTTGTAGTAAATTAAAGTAATTAATGTTTTATTACACTTGTATATTATTACAATTAAAACGTAATTAACGACAAGTTAAGTTTAGTTAAGGTGTTAAATTAGAGACACGGACATGACAATTCTACCTGCGGCAGTGCCTCGCCTGACCTGACAGGCTACAGTTGGTATTTTCTATTTGAATGACACCTTCTATGACCCAAAGGCTAAAGAACCAGGTTATTAGGCCCCAAGATATAGGCATAGCCATCTCTAAATTAAAACTTCTGGGCAACCAGTGAGCTGTCTGTTATGTGGCTACTTAGAAACAAACAGGATTGAGTGTTGCAGATATAACACACAGCTGGAAGTGTAGTGCAGCAGCATATTGTAGCTAGAGCCTTGGACCTTTTGACCTTTAGCTCAATACACTAACCACTAGGCCTTGCTCATCCCAATTTGTAGAATAGTTTAAAAAATAGTGCAGTACTTACAAATAGAACCTGTTAATTAAAACTTATAAAAAAAAACTAGTAAGAAATGAGAAGTATTATGTAAGCATCATCATAGAGTTTGTCTTTCACATACTTTAAACTTTTGTCTACAGTAGATACAAGTACTTTTTTCACCTTCCTTATTTTAGGGCAGTTGAGTAAATGTTACATTATTCTATACTAGGGGAGATGGCATGTTTTTCCTCGGGTTAAGATAGCTAACTCAGTATTTTTACTGTACAAATCATTATGGTTGTTATTTTGTGGGAAAAGGAGTTATTTTACTTCCTTTCTTTTTAGTCATGACTTTACACAAACGTCTGAAACAACAGTTGATTAAACAATTATTTTTTTTTTACAAGGCAAAACTGTAGCATTGCTTTCAAATAAACTAATTTACATTAATAATTCATTTTTGTATAAAATTTTAATGTTTGTGACATTTGTCTTAATTATTAGAATTACTGAATAGGATGAGACAAAACTTTTATAGTTATAATAGAAATACTTCAATATTATTGAAGATTTATAAAAAAAACCTAACACATTAGATTGAAGATAAAAATACTTATTACGCTTATAAAGTGCCTCTATTTTCTAGATATAAAAAGAGAATTCTGAAGATAGCACCCTTGTAAAATTGCACTTGTGACTGCCAATATAAAAAGATAATTCTGAAGATAGCATCCTTGTAAAATTGCACTTGTGACTGCCAATATAAAAAGAGAAATCTGAAGATAGCATCCTTGTAAAATTGCACTTGTGACTGCCAATATAAAAACGAGAATTCTGAAGATAGCATCCTTGTAAAATTGCACTTGTGACTGCCAATATAAAAACGAGAATTCTGAAGATAGCATCCTTGTAAAATTGCACTTGTGACTGCCAATATAAAAACGAGAATTCTGAAGATAGCATCCTTGTAAAATTGCACTTGTGACTGCCAATAGATTGGATTTCTGAGAGAATGTAATGTTGACAGTGCTATGTGTTAGAATAAGTATGGTAAGCTTTTCTATCAAACACATGTTTATGTATAAAGAATGTTTTTGAAGTAAATAGCAGTTCAACTTTTTGTATTAAACTAATTGAAATAAAACTGTGAGATAGATTAAAATAAATATTTTTTATATTGTAACTTGCCAGTTATATTTGTTTATAGAATTTAATAACAAATAATGAATTTTCTGTGGTTTGAATAGAAAATATCGGTTTTTGACTACATGTCGGTGTTTGACGTTTTGGTGACTGCAGTATTCTATTGTGGTTGTTCGGCTAGACAATCATCTCTTTGCTCCAGTAAAACAATAGCTGTTGATTGATTTTTAAGACTGTTACAATGCCCCAATAGTGAGAAATACCCAATTTCATACACATATGTCTTGAATATGGGTTACATCAAAATCAAAATTTTTAAAGCCAACACAAAAATACCAACTATTTTTACCAACCATAAATATTTACTAGAAGAGCTACTTGTAAGTATATAAAAAATCTGTCTTTGACTTTATTAATAACTTGCAACAAGGGACCATTTGACAGCAAGATCAAACTCCACTCTTCCTCCTGGATATCAATATAACATACAGACAACAAGGAACGACTTGATCCTTCAAGGTGGTCTTTGTAAACCCATCCCTGAGAGAAAAAAATAAAAAATCTTAAATCCAGTTTGTATTTTTCAGGAATCCATTGATTCCTCTCTAACTTCTTTAGAGTGCTGGCTCCCACTGCTGCTCACGATAACTCATTCCATAAGCTAATCATCTGTTAAAAAAATTAAAGCTTCAACTGAAGCACAATTGTCTTTTCCAAATTTTAAACTTGTGCACTTTCATTCTGTTTTGTCCACAAGATACAGATGCATCTTTGCTGGTTAAGAGCTAACAGTGTTCTCATAGACTTGGTTTGAGAATTATAACTAATGAAGTAATTAAAAGCTAGGTTACAAGTCTTCTCAGTAGGGTCCACATTTCTCCAGATTTGCTACATTTTCAAGAAAATCAGTGTTAACATGAATTTATTAACAGTTTTTTATTAATAAATAATTCAAACAGGAAACAATGGCAACATAAAACTATAACAAATAATTGTTTCTTCCTTAAAACAACTTTAAGTTTATGTACACAAAAGGATATTAAAAAACAACACTTAAATCAACTTACTAATAAAATATTTTTATATTATTTAGTGTGACCCATTACTTTTATATTTATATTCCTCCAAGTTTCAATATACTCAATCATAAATACTCCTGCAGTTCTGGTTTTCAATTCAATTGAACTCTCAATTTCTATTTGAAAACCTTGAATAAAAATATTGGTTAATTGTTTTTATCTCTTAAAATGATGGAGATCATATTACTTATAATATTTTGCAGGAAACTTGTATTTTTCAAATGAATTAGAGCTGAAAATAATCAAAAGAATCTCTGCTACGTTTTTTGAATGCTAAGAGAGGGGAAAGTGTTAAGGAAAAGTTAGAGTTTGATAATACCAAATATAGTAAAATCTAGCATAACAGCATTCCAGACTCTAAATGTTTTGATTTGTTTTCAGGACGAACCTATATCTTTTCCAAAATACTGAATTTAGTTGTATTGTCTGGTTGCCAGGGAAAACCGCATAATTAAAACTGTATAAACATTAATTCCTAATGTAGTAATTAAAGTAACACAACCTATTTATGCAGAAATTATTTCCCATCCAATAAGATTGAATATATTAGAACCATGACTTTCATAAAGACATTTTATATAAAAAAAGAGCTTATTAGCCCATCAAGAATGTCCCTTCCAGCTCCTGACTATAACCACCCCTTACTACTCATGTATTCATCCAATCTTTTCTTGAACTAATTTAAATTTTCTGTCTCCACCACCATTGAAGGCAGATCATTCCAAAGCCCAAACACTCCGTTAGAAAAGTAATACTGTCTAAACTGCAGACGATTACTATGTTGCCAAAAGTTTTACTTTTGGACCCTTGTCCTATTGTTTTCACTGCTAAACACGAAAAAGTTGATGAATCTATGTTATCCGTACCCTTAATAATGTTAAGTGCCTCAATCAAATCCCCTGTGACTCTTCTCCTCTCCAGAGAAAACAAGTTTAGAGATTTTATCTCTCCTCACAGGACAATCCCAGGTATAATCCTAGTGGCTCTTCTCTGAACCTTCTCCAACAATTCAATGTCCTTCTTGAGGAAGGGAGCCCAAAACTGTACACAGTACTCTAAATGAGGCCTTACACGTGATCCATGCAGTTAAACAATAATATCCTTTGTCTTGTATTCAATATTTCTGTAGATGCTACTCAAAATCCTATTTGCCCTATTGCCAGCTACAACAACTGTTTAGATGACTCAAGTGATTTTTTTTTATCACAACACCAAGATCTTTTTTCTTCAACCATAGTACTTAATGTATTCCCATTTAAATTGTAACAATCATTTGAATTGTGAAATCCTATTAGTATCGCATTACGTTTTGGATAGTTCAACTTTAGAAAGGTCTGTGTGGTATTTTTGTTCTTATTAATCAATTAATACAAATACACAGCTCTTTCAACGGGTGAAATAGTTATTATTTATTTATACTAGTTTTAATCTGTCTGAAAAACATTAAAGTTTTGTATGATATTGTCGATAGATGGCGGTATGGTATACTGCATTTTGTGTCTATAATCCGTAATTTCTATAATTATATAATCAAGAATATGGTACCTGATGATGACCAAACCTTGTCGAAACGTTGTACATTTGCTGTTATGTTAAACTTATATTAAAGTTTTTCTCCATTACCTATTCAAGCCGTCTCCAGCCATTATTAATCAAGAATCAGTTTAAATATTCGTACAGCCGAAGAAAATTGTAAATTCTGTTCATCCTATCACCAGGTAATATTACATATATATTAAAAACTAATTAGCTACAGCCTTTTTTAGTATATAGTAGAATAAAGGTAATTTAATAATGCCAATAGAATAAAAATTAAAACATTATTCTTCAAATTTCCATGTGGGATTGATTTAAATCTACCATCCCACAAATAGCTGTTTCAAAACTTAATATTATTCGTTAGTTAAGTTCGTAATTCTTAAAAAGCAAGTAAATTATTTTTTTTTGTCGGACGGTACTGAATTTCTAAATGGGTTTGTTTTGTGGTCAAGCCTGCGAATAACCTATAAATGCAGTATTTTGTCAATAAATAATTATCTAAATTTGATGACGAGGAACCCATTTTTTAGAAAGTAAAATAGAAAATAATTATCTAAATTATTTCTCTGCTTCTATTTTCTTATTTCGTCTGCTTATTAAGTGTCTAATGGGAAAAACAGTTAAGTAGAACATAGGTTGATAATTTTTAGCCTATGCTAAAAATATTTTGATTTTAACCCAGAAGGGCGTGTGATCAACGTTTTGACCAATACCTTCACCAGAACCTTAGAAGTGTTAAGGTTTGTTTCTTTGTAGTTAAACACAAAGCTACAGAATCTGTTCTGTGCTCACCATTGGTATTGAAATACGAATTTTACCATTATAAGTTCGCAGACTTACCGCTGAGCCACTGGGGGGCGAACTGTTATATAATAGATATGTTCAAACATTTTTTCGACAGTGTTCTTTAATCCAATATTTCATTTATGAATATTGTAAAGATAGTTACAATAAGAAACACTGATTTCCTGGATGTTTGTGTTCCCAACTTTTTCTGTAAAATCCAGAATGTACTGGATTATCTTTTTTTGGTGCTAAGGAAACCTGTGTTTACGTAGTTTTCTTAACAGTCACTGTCAATAACCATGATCGATACAAGTCTCGTTACAACACTATAGAAAACTTGCTTCGACAGCATAACGTGTTTTTCGACGTCAAGTACTTTCGAATCACGTTATTGCATAAAAAGACCGCAAGAGGTCAGGCGTATTGAGCTACGCTGACATCCAAGTAATATCCGACCACCGTTGCTGCTTGTGAAAAACACACAAAAAGTACCAGAGGTGGTTCAATTGCATCACAAAAACTGCGGTACAGACAAACAAAAAACAATGACGGGGGTGGTGGTGGTGGGGAGGTTGAACAGAATATACTCAAGATACACAAGCATTATAATTCATTGTACTGTCTATTTCACATAAGCCATACTAGTTGACTGACTAAACTTTCCTGTACACGAATGTGCTCAAAAGTTACGAACTTTATTTT